CAGATTTTGAATGCAGTTTCGAAATCAGCATCAAAAAATACGCCTAGCAGTATAGGTCCCATTTCAAATGGCCACTTCGACTTGGGATCCTTCCCTTGTTAGTTTTGTCCTGATATGGCTTATAATATTCGGAGGCAGTGACTTCGATCAGCTAGCCAATAGTCTTTTAGCGTGGCGGCATTCCCAGAGCATAAGCTCGGGTCTTAAGTATGCGAAGAGAACAGTAAGCTCCAAACTTTATTTTAACTAAGAGATTTTTTTGTCTATTAACAACATGAGCAGCTTCACTTTTGTCTTCATCACAGTAACGTGTCTTGCGTCGGTGACTCGTCTTCATCCAGCCATTTGTTTCTTACTTGAACGGCAAGGTACGTGAGACACAATGCCATGACTATGTTGGCTGAAGTACGTACGCTAGTTGATTGACTGTATGTACGCTAGTTGAAGAAAATGCATGATGATGCTTCCAAAATTCCAAAACTTCCATGTCCTTTCCCTATGAAGCTTATTCTGAAACATCCCTCAAAATTTATGTTTGGGTGAAAATGTAGCTGGAAGAGAGAACTGGGGAGCACTGTGTGCTACTACGCCTTTTGGCTTCCTCTTTGATTTCTCAGCAAGATAATATCTTAGGAAGCTACCTTTTACAATTTTATGATATGGAGCACTCCTATCCCATCCCAACTCTCTCCTTGAGATCATCACTTACCGAACTACGAATTCCTTCCCTCCTCGGGCCTAGACAGCGAAATTCGTTTCTTTTGGTAAAAATAAGAAACTTTTCAGCTCTCTGTCCCACCCCTTTCCCAACTACAATCCTTCTAGAATGGGAGGAGGCTTCCGGAATCTGAATTGGAGTACTAAAAGGATCTACGACTCACTCCGGTAAGGCAACGACTCATTATGTTGTCACTGCAATGTTGAATGAGAGGAACCCTCCACAGAGGGCACGGTAAAATTGTGAATGCAACTACTTGGTGCGAGCCGACAGAAATAAAATGAGAAGCTCCACCTAGGATAGCATTATCATGTGGTACTGGCATGCAACTGCTTAGCAGTGGCTTAGATAAGGATTCTTGAGCTCAGACACAGGAGTGATACGATTAGACAGTGGTGAAGCAGTCTTTGAACATTAGAAGGACTTTTTATCGTGGATACAGAAGCATTGTAAACGAAATAAGTGACTGAGTATGAAGTATGACGGCATCATATTCACACTAGCATCCCAAAATGTGGACGGAGATATCCCTACATCCTCTCGACGGAGTCATATTCCCAGAGAACATGTTTTTCTTCATCTGATTCTGTATTTCGCAAAGATACTTACCGGGAAGTGCGACATAAACGTATGATGCTGTGAATGCACTGTCGCGGTACGCTGAAAAAACTCAAAGTTTCAAAAGGATCATTCATCCTTGGCTCCTCCTTGTGACATGATCAAGTTAATAAATTGAGATATGTAAGGTTTTGTCTGTCATGACCGGGAAGAATGTGGACATGCTAGAATTCGAAACTGCTGGTAGTATACTCTGACCACTCGTGTATGACCGGATGAACCTCTACTGGTGGACAGCCGAATTCAAACAAAGCTCTCAGTCTCTCTCTGGATCGTCTGAGGCTGGGAAACTCCACGAGGTCTAGTTCTTCTGCAGCGCGACGTTAGATTAAAAAAGAACTATGCAGCCTTTTTGGGCATGGATTGGTGCAATGTGATGCATCTACCCCAAAATCAGTCCTGCAAACGAATCCCTCGTTAGCCTATTCGGCACAACCGAGACCATGGTTCAGCTCATTAATGCCAGGCTTGTTTTGAAACTGAACAACTTGACGTGCGCAGGAAGTGACCTGGGATTTCTATACCAGGGCCTTATACGCCTCACAATGTTATTACGGTTCTCAAAAATTACCGAATCTGTGAATGTTCTACAGAAGGAAGCAGCACCAGAAACCTAACTAATCACCGTCACAAAAAAGGCGTAAGCAATCTCTCAGCTGCACCTACTTATTGAAATCCAGCTTCAGAAGCATATTCGCGAATGCTTTCTCGCACACATAATCGGATGAATTGTGGGCACTCTACGTAATGCTAAAAACCTCGAAAATCTCACCGTCCATGCACCTGAATGCAATGTACGCCAATCCACCGACGCTTGCCAACTGAAAGAACCATTATTGCTTATGACCACTTTCAATGAACATCTGCTGTTCATATGACAGTGGCTCTGACAGTATGATAGTGGTGACAGTGAGCTTGTCATAAAATCTCGTTGATTCGGAGAAGAATTTTGATTTCGAGCAATTCGTTTACAAATCACGGGGTTTTGAAGCATGAACCCCCCGAAGGCAATGTCAAGTTGATTCCGGTCACGAACTTCGTCAGAAACGTCAACAGTAAACAGGTAGCGACCATCTTATAAAAAGTAAGTGGATGTGCGAAGTAACCTATCCAGAACCAAGTTCCCTGTATCCTAGTGTAGTGCCTGTAGGAGGTTTCTGCAACTTTCTGATGACAAATAGACTTTTGTTGGCATTGGTCGCTTATGAAGGA